ATATAAGTATGAAATTGTATGAAATATTTAAGTCTGCTTGTTTATGTTATAGACAAGAATGGTCTTGTATGGAATAGATAGGTATGGTCTTGCACGGCATTTACAAGTATGGTATTATGCAGATTAGACAAGCATTTTTTTTTTATTAAGCTAGACAAGTATGGTCATAGACAAATAAAACATTGTATGGAATATTGTAATATGGTCTTGTATAACATATTCAAGTATGATCGTGTATAGCATATTCAAGTATGGTCTTGCATAGTGTAAACATTATGATTTTGAATTCCATAGATAAGTATTGTCTTGTTTGCCAAAGACAAATATGGTCTTGCTTGGCATACTTTAGTTAAGACCTTCATTATTTCGAGGGCTAACCTTTACCAATCTGGCCTAAAGCTGAAAGCAAATGTTTCAGCTACGACCTTCGTTGCATGAGGACCAGACTTCTAACCTTTAGCAATATGGCCTATAAGCAAATGCCTCAGCTACGACCTTCATTGCGTGAGGACCAGACTATCAACCTGTACCATTCTGGACTATAAGAAAATGCTTCAGCTGCGACCTTCGTTGCGTGATGGCCAGACTACCAACCTGTACCATTCTGGACTATAAGCAAATGCTTCAGCTACGACCTTCATTGCGTGATGGCCAGACTATCAACCTTTAAAATTATGGACTATAAGCAAATACTTCTTCAGCTGCGTGTATTACACATTTAAAAATTATCCAGAAAAATTAATTGTTCTTTTTTCATATTAGGCATAGCCGTGGGAAAAGTCCCTGTCAAATTCCTCTCTCTGTATAATTGTATTCTCTGGACAAGAACTATTCACTATATTTGTTTCTCTACTTCTATATATCCCGTGAAAAAGCTGGATTATTTACAATCATTCTGTTTGGGTTTTGTTTGTTTTTTTTTTTTTGTTTTTTTTTCTAGGGAAAGACCTGGCTAGTTCTAGTGTATATTTATGTGCACTAGGAAGAGGCCTAATTGCTTATTCAGCCATGAATTATTTCGTGTTAGGGGCTAGCAATCTGGTAACCAGCTATACACTGCGTTTCTCTGTCTTTTCTTTGTGTAAGATTCTATACGGAATACATGTAATCCACCCGATATTCAATGACAAATGTTTATTCCTGACAAATACGAATCTACAATATATCTGAAACCTTCCTCGACAGCATAAACACTATTAAAAGTACGACGTTATCTCGATAGCTATTTAGATTTCTATCGGTATACAACATTATTTATTAACAGCTATCGTTAGCGTACAAATTGCTCAACATATATTAATGTGTATTGGCATTACAAATTCACGAAAAGAGTGAATCTGCCAAGAGATAACAGCATGAAAGAAAGCCAGTGTTTTGGGAGAATGTAAATGTGTGCAAGTAGTAAACAAACGGCAGTTTTGGAGTATATGATCCCGGGTGTTTACTTTTAAAAAAGACTTGTATAGGTCCAAGAAAAGAATAAAAACATTATGAAAGTAAAACAATAAAAAAGAACGTATTGAAGAGTGTTTTCTTTGAATAACAAATCTCAGAAATGTTTTCCTCTATTTTAAGTAATCTGACAAACGTACTTAACAGCACGACCGTAAAATACGGACTATATGGTGTCAATTTAAACTGATTAAAAATCTAAATTATAGCCAATTGCAAACACCCTCCATCAAAAAAATAAAAAAGAAAAAATGGGGGAGACATATTCTTCTAAATACATGTAGGCATGAAGCGCTACAAGATACAATATGCAGAGTTGTTATCATTCTTTGATAGGAATATAAATTAAAAGATAAATGTAAACGAGCAAAAATCTTTCAAACAGTCAAAATTTATTATCTGAAATGCATTTCCTCTGGAAATGCCAAATTTGTCCTTAGTTGTATGTAATCATTGAGTTTCTTAATTGAGTTCACAAAACAGTCTCTACAAAATCAATACACTAAATAGGACTGTTCTACTGTCAGAGGACACTAGCAGTATATGCACCCTAGTCGAAATTCACCCTTCAGAATGCACGAATCAGGTACGAGTGTCCTATACAACCTAAAGGAGGTATGCACGAATCAAGTACGAGTGTCCTACATAACCTAGAGGATGTAAGCACCAATCAGGTATGTGTTTTTTTTTTTATATAACCTTCAGGAGGTATGTAGAAATATGTGGTAAACTATGTTTATGGCTTCGTGTCTACGAGTGACTTCCAACAGTTAAATTTTCCGGGTATCAAATAAGCTACTATAAGTAGGGATGAAGTAGTAATCTGAGCTAATATATATATATATATATATATATATATATATATATATATATATATATATATATATATATATATATATATATATATATATATATATATATATATATATATATATATATATATATATATATATATATATATATATATATATATATATACAACAAAAAAGAAGAGCCCCAGTTACAAGTAAGAATAAAATTTAACAAAATCTCAAACAATAAAATTTCCACGAATAAACGATATATAAATGACCAAGATATACATTTCTTTCTTTACTTGGAACTATGGAATTTTAAAAAACAATTACCATTAAAGAATTTCAAAATATAATGACAATTAAGGAATGTCAAAATAAAATGGAATTAATAAACTAACTGATGCTGTTTAAGATAGAGACCAAATCATTATACGAGCCCGTGTAATCGAATAGTTCTGCCTTTTTCAATAAAAGCATAACCTGTTGACTTCGCTGTCCTCACAGGTCCTCTCAGACTGTACTTCGGTTCCGTTGTTCAGTACGTCTTTCTTTCCACTTTCTCTCGTTCCCCCAGTTCGAGATACTTTTTACTTCATTCCAACTGCCCTTTCCTTTCCACACTCTTTTTCCTCTACATGCCATTTGGGTTGTACTTTTTTTTTACAAACTATCTCTCCTTATGAAAATAAAACAAACAGCCTAACTCTTCCGTCACATTAACCGAAATACATAATTAGACTGACCCTCTCCAGGTCAGAAATTACTTTCACATTCAACAGTCTACGCGGCTAGTTCCTGGACTAAGGAACTGTGAATGCCATTTACACCACATGTGACATTGACCCTTTTCACACGACCTCATTATACGTAAATGAATTAAATTCTATACTACACAACATGGATTCGTTTCGGATAGTTCCGGCTACATTCGTAACAACAATCATCAATTCATTCACTGACTATAAATACAATATTGTCAGCTAAATGAACTCAACATAGTTATGTAGGATACATGTACATAATTCCATATATAAAATACGTATGAATTCAACCTACTCAATTCCTACAATAATCAATACTATAACTTAGCAAGTCGTCAATGCATATTTAAAAGAAAATATCGTTGCGAGGCTCAGATAAACAAACTAGACACAATTATACCATATCAAGAAAGTTAATCTACGACTCAACAAATAAATTCATGTAAATACGTGCTTCTACAAGCCCTTATGTCATAGCATAAACGACGTATATAAATTCATGCACCTATAATCGATTAAATCATAGCATATAAGGAGAAGATGAGATTTAAGCAATTAACTCGTTTTTTTCTGCTTTTTGTCTATCTAAACCTTCAGACAACCGTCTCATCCTTGGATGACAATTAGTTTTCGAGAAATTTACTCTTTAAATTCCACGGAGTCCAGATCTTACCCCCACTTCTCTCAAATAGAGAATGGTAGACTGAAGATTCAAATTTTCTCCAGTATATTTGAAATCAAGATTTTTCGTTTAACTACGCCCCTTTCCACATCGTAACCAATCAGATTTAAAATAATTCCCGCCTTTCCAGTACACACTGCATTATTTCAATAAGCAATCCCGACTGTGCCGACTTCCTAAAATCAGTTCTTAGCAGAACAAGGCTCTAACCCCACGCGGTAAGTTTAAACAAACTCAGCCCTTAATTAAAAACTAATAACTTCTGGCCTCGCCTAAATTAATATGTACTTTATGGCTAAAACAAGGTGGCCATTTCCACATAAAATTTCGTTGATGGTACATGTATGCCAGCTAAGTGTGTTCTAAAATAATAATTTCTAACAAAGAAAGATCTAACTCAGATTTGGTCCTTTACAAAATCATGTATGTATGTCCTCTTAACTCTTTATATATGTCCTAGACTCAGTTGCTATGTGTTAAGTATATTTAATTTAATTGTTTATATTTTATTGGTTTTTTTAAAAAATAAAATGATTTAATTACATGCTATTGTAATGTAATATTGACCTTATCCAAAACTGAGTTCGTGTCTGCTATACCTGGCTGAATTTTTTTATGTAAACAACAATACATACCTAAATTAGTCTCTGTGTGTATGTGCGTAATATCAGAATCATTATTAATAGAAGATGTACATGTTTATTTGGTTAAAAGTTTTGAAATTTCCTGAGTGTAATCCAGTTTATAGTTTTGATTTTGTGAAAATGAAAATCATTCTAGAATGTTGTATTCCATTACGTAATGTTTATTTTTTCAGAAAATGCTATTTGTTACCTGAGGTCAAGTAGAAAACTATATAATCTTGTAATTGTGAGGACTTGGTCGTTAGCGCTTTAACATCTAGCACTTTAAGTTATGTTATGTTGTTACCAGTTGGGCTCAATTTTATATTCTTCATACTATTGAAATCAAGTGATTAGTTTCTCTGGAAATACAAAAATTGCTCTGATAAAATTCTTGGATAAGCATGTTCACTGTAATTTATACCGAATTCAAACCTGGAATTATATTAAAGTGATTCAAGAAACAACTGTTGACACATCAATATTCTATAAATTTTAACAGACACGTCATCGCCTTCTCTTTTTGGATTTCTTCGGGATTTGTACTGAGTTTTATTCAGACATTAAATTATTATTATTATGAATTGTGTCTGTAATTCTTGGATTATTTTGGGATTTAATTTTTTCTCGCATTACTTTGTACTCTAGGAAAATAAATTATTTGTTCAATTTTACAAGCTTGTTGGACCGTTCCGGTGGCCTGGTGGTTAGAGTGTCCGTCTGGGATGCGGGAGGTCGCAGGTTCGAATCCCGGTCGAGTCATACCAACTTTTTTTAAAAAATGGTACTAACGGCTGCCTCGCTTGAAGCTCAGCATTAAGAGGTTAGTGTTAGGACTGGTCGAAATAGAGTCAGGACAATGTGATTGGGTGGGTGGGTCATCTTGCTACATATCTACGGCATGATACTCCAATGCTGGACATCACTATAAACTGACACACACACACACACACACACACACACACACAAAAGCAAGCTTGTTGTCTTTCACTCTTTTTTGTTACTTATTTTCAGAGCATAGAATCGTAAAAACATTACTATCGCATTTGTTTAAAAATTTTTCTGCATCAAGGATGCCACTCTTCAACGATCTATTCGATGTTTCCATGCAAGTTTGCAATGTTTTTATTTTATAAATTTTGTCACTTAAATAAAACATGCCATTTTATATAATATTTGAAGTCAGTATATGGAATTTCTGTTATTGGGTGGGGTGGGGAAGCTAAACAAGATGCCGAGGAGTTTGTGGGGCTCAACCCACATTATAATTTTAACCATCTGTCTGTAAAGAAAACTTAAACCTAGAAAATATTCATATTGTATCACCACGCACCCCGCCCACCCCATGTCAGATCCACCCCTGCCGTACATTAAAAACATGTAATAATGCTTTGCACCTAAAGTGTGCATGGCATCTGACGATGAGAATGTATACGTAAGTGATCAGTATTTTGTATTGAAAAATCAAATCTCATTAAATGTGCTTATCTATTTCTGTTTTAGTACTTTTAAATTTCTCCTTGGTAATATTGTCGTCTTAAATAGTGTGGTTTCATGTTGCTTTTTTATCCTCGTTTTAGAAAACCTCTAACAATCCTATATTGTCATGCAGGTGATTGTTTGCATAATGACCATACAGGTACTTCTGGGTGTCTGATAATTTAAGCTGGTTTTAGATTACTTGCTTTTGATGTGTCACCATTGTAGTCACTGCCATCAATCATAAAAAAGGTAATTGCATCTTGATAGATATGACCTATTTTATATATTAACTTGTCTATCTACTCTGTCTATCACGATGGTCCTTCATCTTTAAGAGACTTGATAAAACAGAAACATTGGACAGATTGTAACGATGTCGACAAACGTCGGCACAGTTAGTGTTTATCTGATATGCAGCAAAATGCTGTTTTTCCATAATTAGTCACTGTACACATCAGTGTATGATGTTTTTTCAAATATATTTGACATGTATATACTATAATTCAGATTAAATTGTTTTGAATGTTTACCTATGCATCAGAAATAAAATAAAAATTAATCTTATAGGCATCCATGTTATATTTTTTGTTTATCTGAAGGTGGATACATTATTGTAAATTAGCTGAATTATGTTCACTACATGCAAGCTGTTGTCAGGTTTCTCCTGAGATCAAGCCAGATATAATTGCTTTCTGTACACAATTTTTAACACGAAAGTTTCTAATTTATGTGTGTCGTTTATGTTTATCAAAGAAGCAATGAGTGATTTCTGCAAACTATTGCTTAATTTGGAAACCCTAGGAAGAAATTATATTCAGCAGACCTTCTAAGATTACCCTGACTTTTCCTTCTACAGAATAACAGTTTTGGATTTTTTTTCCTTTTTTAAATCTGCATCAAAAATTTCCTTTAAACTCACTGTGTACATCAATTGTGAGATTTCTTCATGTTGAATTGGCAGATGATTCTATCTCTTGAGACGTTGCCATTAAAAAGCAAAAGCATAGAGTTGGTATAAATCATTTAGTTTTGAATACTGTATTTTTTAATAGCTTGACCTTTACCTAAGGATGAATGTATATAGATACTGGTATCATTCAGATTCTTCACATAATGAATCACCTGCCTTTATGTTTCATTCAAATAGTCTAGTGTCTTGGTTCTGTTTTGGCGTATGGTCGCCATCTAACTCGTGTAAGTTGTTCAAGAGATTAGCGATTTGCAATATTACCAGACAATCATCCCACAGGCGTACGAGCTAGGCAGAAACGCTGTTGAACTTCTCTTCTCTCTGGACTCACATCAACGTTGCAGGACGTGAGAGAAACAGTACTGCCTTAATTCATAGTTTCAAGTAGATATTATTCTCCATGTGGAATCTACCATGTCTGGATACCTAACCAAAGAATGAGCTGTAAGACCTATAATCTCATATGTATGGTTTCGTAGTGGCGCCATTATGGTCTTGAATCCCAAAGACTCTGTGGTCATCAATGATGACATCGACAAAGTTATACACGAGAATTTTGAAAACATTACTCCAGAAAAGGTTCACTAAGAATATTTTTATGTACATGGAAGTTCATCTTAATATTTTGTCACACGAGTCTTTCGCGGGACAAGTTATATCTCAAAGCCAGTACGTATTCCAGCACTGGTATGATCAATGTGGGAAACAATGGCTATAGGTGTTTCGAATTGGTGATTTTACCCGAGCTGTTTCATGCTCGTTATAAAACAGATTAGCTTCGAAAATATCATCAACACCTGAGCGAACTCATGTTTGGTAATATATTTTCTTGTACATGTTTCTAAGCTCTCACTCAAAGAGTTTGAACAACTCATCCCTTATATCGTTGTCAATGTGTACGCTTGGGACAGCGTTCTCTGTCCAAACACGTACAAAGCAAAGATTCGTGCGGAGGTTTAAAGTTATCTGATTTCTGTTGAGCAACTTGGGTGGTCCAGAGTCGCGATATCATTAAGTGTGGATAAAAGATTTTACTCAGATAGTGTACCGCCACAGTAAGCACCATAAAAGAAAGTTTCAGTGTCAACGCTGCATGCATATATTTAACTCGTAACAGTTGCATGACGACCATGAAACTTACTGAAAGGGAGTCAGTGTATGATCATATCGAAACCTGACAAAAATTCACCGCGGTGCAATGAAAACTGTTAGACATGTATGAAATTTACGCGAACTTTGAATGACTGAGTGGCCAAGTGGTCTAAATCGCTTTCCGTTACTGATCACTACCATCTCACATATATCTGCGTGAGTTTGAATCTATTATTCGGCGAATGTGGATATGTGAGAAAGCTTGCCAGTAGCTTCTCGTGGGTAAGTGGTTCTCTCCGCGGATTTCCCGGTTTCTTCCTCCACCAATAATACTGGCCGCCATGTATAGCCTATCGCTTGCTGAAAAATGGCATTAAGCCCCACAACAACAACAACAACAACAACAACAACAACAACAACAACAACAACAAATGACTGATTATTCCTTTGAGATTTTCACTTCCTGAAACAAATGCGGTTCAATAAAATACGATACAAAGTGCAGAACATGTCCATTCTGGTTTTGCTGCACTGTTTTCTGATGTGATAGAATAACTGAACTGCCAGTATTGTACCGTGGCTGGGTCTCAGTTCGAGCGTTTATCTAGTTGATTGAAGGTTACAGCGAAATTGACCCAGAAGCAGCTTTCCTCAGCCGCATAAATGATTGTGAAATGCTATTACATTAGCGAGGTTTTCGCGGAAAATCATTGTTAGATCTTATAGAAGCCCGGCATAGAGTACATGAAATCTATAGCTACGAATTTACCCTGACAAAATAAGAATTCCCGTTGTGGCTCAACGTTCATAACACTTGCACGAAACATGGTCACTTAATCTTGCATATAGTCTAAAAAGCATCGAAACTAGTAATAAGCTTTACTTTCATCATTTATGGAAAACTACAAAAGGCATGTCAGCTGGGTAAACTAGAATTCATTGACTCTCTGAAGTTTCTCAATTCCAGCCCGGACAAAAACGCCAACAACGTTGAGGTGAATGGCAACTATTGTTTTAAGATCATACGTCGATACGACAGACTAACCGGAAATCCCTGGCTAACTCACCCGCAGAGGAATATACCCGTACATGAGCGACAAGATGTTTACTTAAACGTGTTTACCATCGAATGACACGTTTAATTGGTTGTTATCTGGCGAAAGCATTTCGGCCGACGATTATGCTTATGCGAACAATGTCTGGACGGCGTTTGGCTGTCGAAATCTCGGTGACTACCATGACTTGTATCAGTATATTGACATGTTTCTGCTCGCAGATGCTTTTAAAGCTTTTGCGATACTGCTACACGTATTTCCAAGCTCGATCCCGTGCACTACTTATCATTATACAGAATGCTTGGTGTGCATTGCTGCCGAAATAAGTTTCTAGCTGGATTTACTCATTGACCTCGATCAACATTTGTTTACTGAACGTGGTATCCGCGTCGAGATTTGTACGATGATTCACAGTTTTGCTTTCGCGAATAACCCAAACGTGGACCGATATGACTCCGTCGTTCTAAACAATTATATCATGCACTTGGCTCAGAAGAGCCTGTACAGCTTATGTGCGCAGGTGAGTTTCAGTGAATCGGTCTCTCGTCATCCAAAAGCATATACGTGAATACGATAACAAGAGCGACCATAGGTACTCTTCTAAGTCGACCTGGAATTCCCACAAATAACGATTATCTGCTGATTCCGGAAGAGCGGTCGGTGTTTACGCAAGTGAAATATTGGATAGTTCCGGCGTATGTTTACTGACGAAAAAATTAAACAATGGTGTCTATGTACAAAACAGATAGTTTTATTTGCGGTTAGGAATGCGTGTGCTGTGAGTCCAACAAGTGCTCCCTTTTTTATGCGCATTTGCATGGCTCCGTAGATCCAGATTATTGCGGATCTGAGAACATTTATCAGGAACGAATTTGAAATGTTTCCCTTCAAGTTGATGAATAATGATGTACCATTGATAGTCTGCATTATCTTATCTGGGGTAAAGAGCAAGACAAACTTCACAGGTTTACTAAGTACCCCGCATTAGTGTCACGCAAAATATTCGATGGCATACACATCAATAAATATCGGCTAAAGCTTACGAGATCAATTTAGGTCGACAAGTCCATGCTGCATCTGTCAAGGCTGCTTATTTACGAGTTTTACAACGATAAAATAAAAACAAGGTACAGTGAAAACGTCAAGATCATGTACACGAATAC